TCTAGAATGCACCTATGGGATTCTAGAAGCCAGAGAAGCCTCTGCTCCCAGCAGCAGGATACAGCATGGTTTTGAATGTAATATTATTAAATAAAACTGCTGATCATGGATGATATCTTGGCATTCCTCCCCTGCTCACTGTCCTCAAACAAAATACATGCATTGTGTGTGTGTGTGTGTGTGTGTGTGTGTGTAAAATGGTGAAACATTTGAGAAAAAATTAGTTAAGAAAATATGGGTTTGATTCAAGAGACCTTTTTTTATGACAATATCTCCCATTTGAAATACTTCACTAATAAAAGATGAAAGCCCAATGTGCATTTTATAGCTTAATCTGTGTATTTAATTGGATTAGAGCAATGAACATCAAGCATGAAACAAGCTGTCCAAAAGGGTTGTTGCGTTAGTTTCCTCTGAGGTTAAGGGGGTGATAGCATAATCAGTTCCACAAGTGGGCACATTGGATAGATCAGCTCCTCCTGTCCAAGCTCAGTAATTTGAATGATGTGACTATCCAAACACCAGTTGCTTGTTGAACAAAATATTAAACTTTAATCTGCTTATATTATTTTAGGTTCCAAATGGTCATTTATCCAAAATAAATGACAAAGAACTATTATGTTTAAATGTGTTTTGTTTTTAAGGTATTTTCAGTTAAATGAATTTCCAATAAAGCCAATATTCAGAATTCAAGGACACTCAGTATTGAACGTGTAATATTAAAAAATGTTGAAGTCAAACCAGAAAATTGAATAGAAATCCATTCAAGAGGTTTGATCATCTCTTATGTCGCAGTTCCAGAGATATGAGGATACATAAGACAGGCTTCTTGCCGTGAATAATCTTGGAGTTGTTTTCAGGGAATACAAGACCTAGTATTGTTTTATTGGTGTGATATTAGAAGTGTGAAATGCTCTGGAAATAGAGCTAAAGGACAGGGGCAGACAGGGATGTGTCAGAAAAAAAAAAACGCACAAAATACACCATTTCAGCTGGAGTTTTACAAGGATGCGAGGAAGTTTGTGGGAATGAGAACCAGCAGGGAGGCAAGTGCAGGGAAGACACGTGTGGTCTGTGACTCAAGAACAAAGTTGGCCTCTTTTAGGCTGGGAATCCACTAAACCACCAAGTTCCTAGGAATGGGAAAAAAGCTCCTGACATGAGCTAGTAGTACAACTAAATGCAGAAATTCGTAACAGTTAGGCCTTGTTCATCTGATACTGTCAGAGAATAAACACTTTGACTCAAGTGATTTTTCCCTGAAACTTTGTAATTTGTGTCAAGGGTTTATTTTAACTTTTTAAACCTGAAGGAACAACTTGACAACTCTAGTTTATCCTTTTAACAAATATATATGTTTTTACTGATTTCTAGAGAGAGAAGAAGGGAGAGGGAGAGAAACATCTACATGAGAAAGAAATGTTGATTGGTTGCCTCCTGTCAACCAGGGATCCAACCCACAACCTGGATATATGCCCTGATGGGGAATCAAACTGCAACCTTCTGGTGCATGGGACAACGCTCAACCAATTGAGCCACACTGGCCAGGGCTCTAGTTTATCTTAATAAATGTCAACTGTTGGGCTATGTTAAAATGTCCTTAGGGACTTAAGGCATGTAGAACTATTTGCCTTGAAGATTAGAGGCCTTCTTTTGGTATTTTATTTTTAAAGTTTGGCTTCTGTATTTTTTTCTCCCTCCATTACTTTTTCTGTAAATTTTTCACCTCACCTTGCTGTAAATTTTTCTTGCTGCTGTCAGTAGATCTGCCTCTAATGGGCTTTTTCATCTAATTTGCTGTCTTTACTCTGCTGAGGAATGGGGAGCAAGAAAATCCACCTTGCTTGAATTATGTGCACGAAAGAGTAAATGGTTTATGAATTGAGGTCCTTTCCCAGGAAGCCTAAAAATTTTGTTTATTCTTGCTTGTGTTCCATTGGGCAAGTTTGCAAAAAAGGTGACCTCTAAAAAAAATCAGTTGTGACTTTATCTGAACTAACATTTTAATCTGTTTGGGAAAATGGCAAATCTTGAAATTGCTTCAAGTTGGAATTTATCTTGGAATAGTCCTTAGAGATGTTAGAAAAGCAAAGCATGTAGAACACTATTTCTCAAAATGTTGATGGGACACTTGTGCTTCAGGTTTTATAATTTTCCCAGCTGAAAAGAACATTCCAGCACAAAGTAAGGGAAGTGAGCTTATCTTCCATGGCAGAAACATACTTTTTCAATAATATTGAACTTTAGTCAGTGATTAAACATATAGAATGATTATACAGAGGAATGGCATTTCAAGAGGCAATGGGGTATGTTTGGGGATTTAAAATATACAGCCTGACTTTGCTTATCTAACTCTGAGGGGGTAGTATTGTTTAACTCATTTTTCTGAGGAAGAAACTAACAACTCAGAGAGTATTCACATCACACAGTTCTATACTGCTGGGCAAGGATTTAAAACTCTGTTAGTCTGACCTCTAAGCTCATGTTCCTGGGAATTTGTACTTTATCCCAGTCCTTCCAATTATTGAATCTTTAACAATTATTTTTAAACATTAGTATTTTTTATTTGAAAATGTAAATTGCCTTTTAAAAATTAAATGTATTGGGATAACTTTGGTTAATAAAATTATATAGGTTTCAAGTGTACAATTCTATGATTCCTCATGTAATCGATAGCATTGAAGTCCCCTGAAAATTATTGCTTGCTAAGTCTGTCCAGGTTTGCCCATCCAGCTATGCCAGCCGGGTATTGCAACACTAGGGGGCGCCATCCACATGGACTGCACTCTCATGGCAGTCCTTATAGCTGGGCCATGCAGGAGATATTATAACGATAACCACCACTTAGAGGGCTATTTATTCTGTCCTGGGTACATCAAATACCATATTTCCTTTATTCTTCAAACAGTACTATAAGGAAATATGGTGAGGTATATTTTCCAGAGGAGGAAATTGGGACTCATAAAGTGCCCCCAGTCAATTCACTAGTGTGTTGTAGGGGTAGAATACAAACCCAAGTCTTCCTGATTTCACAGCCCATGCTGTTATTTCCACCTTACTTCATCCACCCCTATTCCATGGAATTTCTTATCAGCCAGGCTAGTGCAGACTGGGATAAAGGGGAATGTGTTCTCAGTATCCTGGAAGCATTACTTAAGTGATGACTCATCAGCACATGACCACTATCCTGGTCTCAAACCTTCCATGGCCCAACATTACTTAAAAAGTGAGTGCAGCCCTGGCTGGTTTGGCTCAGTGGATAGAGCATCAGCCTGTGGACTGAAGGGTCCTGGGTTCGATTCCGGTCAAGGGCACATGCCTGGGTTGCGGGCTCGATCCCCAGTAGGGGTTGTGCAAGAGGCAGCCGATCAATGCTACTCCCTCATCATTGATGTTTCTATCTCTCTCTCCCTTTCCCTTCCTCTCTGAAATCAATAAAAATATATTAAAAAAAAAGTGAGTGCAAAGCCTATATAAGATGACCAAAGCCCCATCGCCAACCTTCCTCCCTCCTCATCTACCCCTTCTCCAAGGCACTCTGTGCCCCCAATAGCCACCTTTTGAGGCATTTTTGGCCACAGAGTGCACATTTGCATATTGGAGTCCCATTGGTCATTTCCTTTGCATTAGCTTTAGACTGAAGGCCGCATGTTGTTTCCCTATCCAGAGAGCAGAAAAAGACAGTGATGCATTGAAAGGCACTGATGCATTGAAGAAGGCTCCTATCTCATTCTTCATTATTGCTTTCCCAGTTCACCTCTGTTTCTTCTTGGCTATTACAAATTAATCTGCTGTGAACATTTGTATGTAGATGTTGTGTGAACATAGATTTAATTTGTCTGGGATAAATACCCAAGAGTACAATTGCTGTGTCATATAAGTTTGGTATATTTAGTTTTAGAAGAAACTGCCATACTTTTCTGGGGAGAGGCTGTACCTTTTTATATTCCCACCAGCAATTTATGAGTGATCCAGTTTCTCTGAATCCTTGCCAGCGTTTGGTGTTAATGCCATGTTATTTTAGCGATTCTGATAAGTGTGTGGAGATACTCAATGTGGATTTAATTTGCATTCCCCTAGTGGCTAATGATGATGACCACCTTTTCACGTGCTTATTTGCCATCTGTATCTCCTCTTCAGTAAAATGTTTGTCCATATTTTTTGTCCTTTTGCTAATTGGATTGTTTATATGTTTTTTATTGTTGAGGTTTGAGACTTCTTTATATGTTCTAGTTACAAGTTTTTTGTTGGATTTGTGACTTGCAAATATTTTTTCTCGGTCTGTAATTTGTTTTTTCATCCGATTTACAGGGTCTTTCACAGAGCAGACGTGTTGAATGTTTATGAGATCCAATTTATAATATTTCCTTTTACGGACCTTATTTTTGGTGTCAAGTCTAAGAACTCTTTACTGAGCCCCAGATCCTGAAGATTTTCTCTTAAGTTTTTACCTAAGAGTTGTATCATTTTACATTTAAGTCTGTGACCCATTTTGAGTTAATTTTTGTACGAATATGAGGTGTCAAAGGTCATTTATTTTTGTTTGTTTCTTTTTGCTTATCAGTATCCAGCTGTTCCAGCACCAATTGTGGAAAAGCCTATCCTTCTGTTGAATTGCTCGTGCACCTTCTTCAAAAATCAGTGGGCTTATTGCCCATATGAATCATGCCACTAGTATAGTAAATTGTGAAATATTTGATAATTTAGAGAGGTCTCATTACACACTCATGAATCATGCTCAAGACCTTATGGTCCTTATGAGAACAGAACACTTGGCCCAAATCCCACCAAAATATTCCCTTTACCTAAATAGAAACACATGGGAAAGAATGCCCGTATTTTCCTTCCCAGGGCCAATACTTGGTTGCTTAAGTTTGACTTTGTGAACTTGACGGGGACGGGAAAAGTGACTGGCCTCTGTCAGGCTTCTTTTTGCGTAGGCTTCAGCCAAGACCTGTAGCCAGCAGCTCTGCCAGGACCTCAGGAGCCCGCTCACATACAAAAACCATAAGGGGCATCTAAGGAAAACAATCCAATCCCTTTTAGGGACACACCAAAGCTGGGTAACTCAAGTTAAACATAGCAAGATACAGCCAGTCTTACAGCTGAGTCCTGTGCCATTAGCATTGCTCTCCTGGGTTTTTGAAACATGCATCTGTATAAACCTGCCTGTGCAGACATCCCCAGCCCCAAGCTGGGTCTGCCCAAATCTAGCGACTCTGCTCTGAAATGTAGACGGCACATCGTGGTGACCAAGCCTCCGCCTGGGGCAGCCTGCTGGCCTGCCAGGCCCAGTGGAGCAGCAGAACGGAAACACCTGGAGAAGTTTTTACGTGTCCATGGAATTTCGTTGCGGGAAACCACCAGAGCAGAGACGGGCATGGCTTACAGGTACTTGCTGATTGTAATGTCATCCAACCAGGGCACTGCACTGAAGTCAGAGGTTGCTGTTATCAGAGAAATAAGGATTGCAATAGCAAAACAAACACAGAGAGAAAAAGGAGTAGGACTGGGAATGCAATGAGCCCTCTTCTTGAGCTACTTTTTTTTTTTTCAAGCTTTCAATTGTCTATTTCCTCTCTTCTCAAAAGGTAACGTTAAAGATAGGCATGCTCATCTGGGAAGCTCCTAACCATGCACTGCCAGTAGAAGTATTTTTGACATTGAGCAGGCAGGTGGTTTTGTGGGTCATAATGAAGAACGGGACCCTGTTCTTCTTAAGGGAATTTATAAATTAAGAGAAGGATTTTTTCGCTGCCTAGGCTTTAGGACGGTTATTTCCTTCTAAGCCTGAATCATGTGGGCTGTGCTAATGGTTAATAAAGTAGTTCATGAAACTGAGGTAGTTATTGAAATGACAGGACTTTTTATCAATGTAGCCCAAGATAAATTACTGGTTATTCTCTCAACTTCCAATCTCATCACTTATTCTGTGAAAGATTAACAAAAAGGAGAATTTTTCCCCCCCGGGTGTAGAGTGGGATGTGTAATATTTATAAATTACTTTGAGATGAGAGGCATCCTTCTTTTTCAGAACAATTATTAGTCAAATCTCTATAAGAGGTGCTTGTGCTTAGCTAAACCACACAGCAGAAATGCTTCCTTGACCAACGCCTGGAGTTCTAAACATCTGGGAAGCTGAGCCAAAGCCATTCAGAAGGACAAGGGTGCTGAATGTTTTAAAAAAGAAAAAGAAAATATAGCGTTTGTAAAGACCAGTTGTTGTAGCTCAGGTCAAAACTTCTGCTTCACAGAATAAGATTGTTTTGCATGGACAAGCTGTCCCCAATCATTTCAATTTTCTATAACCTAAAGGTCAATTTTAATGCAGTAGCTAGTACTCTAGTTTATCAGCTAATGTGATTAATAAAGCAGTTTGCAATGAGATAGCTTCTCTCCGGAGAACAGAGTGCAGACTTTTTATGCAATAAAGGGCTCATGCAGAAGGGGAATGAAATTTTCTAGGTTTCTAGGACATATAAACATAGGACAGCCCACCCCATCATGCTTTTTATCAATGTAGCCCAAGATAAATTACTGGTTATTCTCTCAACTTCCAATCTCATCATTTATCCTGTGAAAGATTAACAAAAAGGAGAATTTTTATATGGAGCCTAAGAAGAATCTAGTCATCTTTTCAGGAGAACCTGTGGCTCCATATACCCCCTGTCCTGAATCCATCCCCCACAAAAAGGAGCTTCCTTCTTCTCTGCCTCTCCACAGTCTCTCACTGTCTTCTCCATGTTTTCCTTGACCCTCAATGATGGCAGTGATAGAATATAGACCAGGTGAGGAGGGACTGTCTCTCTTTTCATCTTTATCATAGGATGCGTGGTGTTAGCATGAACTCGGGTAAACCTCCAAAGGGCAGGCCTCTTTCCCTCAGGAGTCCTGGTGTGAATATCAGTTACACATCTTGTGTCCCAATGTTCAAAGATATGTTCTAGGACAGTGTTCTTCAAACAGTTATGAAGCAGAGGAATACTGTCTTCAAACCACAAAGGTGTCCTCGTTGACACTGGGGGCCAGGAGCCCACCTGCTCGAGGGGAGCAGTCATCCCCAGCCTGGTTTCTGAGGCACCGTACTATCCACGGAGTGAGAGTCCAGTTGTGATGTGACTCTTCATAATGCCCTGGAGAGCAAGCTCTGTGACCTTGAGGATACCAGGTCCTACACAGAGAGACAAGTTCATGGGCAAGCGCGCATACCACTAGATCAAACTCTAAGACGAAATGGGACGTAAGAGGTTGTTGGCCCCGATCAGAAATTCAGGAAAGAAAAGTGCAGTTAAATTGGGCCTAGGAACAGCCAAGGCCGTGAATTATGATGACCTTGCTGAGCTCTGCCATCTCCCCCTGATGCATTCCTCCATCCCCGTCCTCTCCACCCCCCAACTTGAAGCACGTCTCCTTTCTTTAAATTCCATAGTACTTTGTCTATTCTTCTTTCAAGGCACTTATTAATGAACACTATTTAAAACATCCCCCTTTAAGCATTAGGGAGGGATTGTTGGGGAAGAGAATCCTGGTTCTTTAGGTTCCTCCATAACTTAGCTTTTGACCTTGACTTCTTATAAACATAGTTGGGATTTAGGAGAGAAGGTAACTTTCATATTCTAACATCTTTATGTTGATTTCCATCTTCCCTCAAGACCATTGGTTTTGTTCAAAGACCTGGTTCAAACTGTATGTCCCATAACCTTCTTCTTTGCAAGGGTATTATCCCACGTGTAGTGGAAAGAGAGTGGACTTTGGAAAGACCAGGTTCAAATCCCAGCTTTTATGTTTACCAACTTTGTGACATTGGGCCAGCTGCGATATCGAAGTGCCTAACACGCAGTAAATGTAGGTTCCCTTCCTGCTTATTCTGTAGACTCTGTCACTCATTCTAGGAGCAGGGGATGAACACCCCCTATAGATGAAACATAGAAATAGATAAGAGAATATTTGCAGAAGGAAAAAGAAAGAATGAAAAAATTCTCAGCAGTTCACAATCTGTGTAGGTTTCCATGCTGGGCTTTAGAATTGTGAGAGGCCTGGAAGAGCTGGGTAAGCTGCTTTCTCTTCCTAATTTGGTCCGAAGCCATTGCAGCCTTCAGCCCAATACCAGCTGCTCAGGTCCTTCGATCATCTGTGATAGAGCATTATGCTGTGTTTCCATGGAGACATGGTTATATTTCTAACTAAGGGTGACCAGGAGAGGGAAAAAAAATCAGTAAATATGCAAACACATGTATCAGCTGAAAAGAAACTGGAGGAAATTGTTTGAACGTGTTGTGAAAAGTGCCAAGTTGCTGTGTAGATCCTTCTGTTGGCTTAGAATTTTCAGCGAAAATAGAAGTTTTTGTGGATTCATTTTATTAGTTTCTATAAAATAGTCACTCAAGAGGGTCCTTCAGTTATTTCTAAGTGGCTGAAACTTAATTGTCTTTATTACATTATACCGAATTCTGAGCCAGACAGTACTCAGGAGCTTGGGTCAAGGTTAAAGTGCACTGAGAAGTAAATTTATAGACATAGCACACAAAATAAAATAGCTAGGCTGAGTAAGGAAGGATGTGTCAAACACCAGCTTTAAAGTAATTTCATAAAACTAAATTAGCCAAGAGGAACTCAAACATATGTAAAGTGAAGGTCTCATCCAGGAGTCAGCAAGCTTTTCTTGTAAAAGGCCAGAGAGTAAATATTTTAGGCTCATGGGCCATCTCCACCTTTGTGAGAACTACTGAACTCTGCTGTGGCAGGGTGAGAGCAGCATTGACAATGAGTAAACGAGTGGGCACAGCTGTGTGCCAATAAACTTTATTTACAGATAAGGAAATTTGAGATTTACAGTGGGGCTTTGACTTACGAGTTTAATTCGTTTCGTGACGGAGCTCGTAACTCAAATTATTCGTATGTCAAATCAATTGTGAATGAGTGAGACACGTGATGCTGGGCTGATGTTGTGGCGTTCACTGTGACGTTCGCTGCGCCAACTAGCGGTGGGGTATCTGAAGCTGGCTTGTAAACTCTGCTGAGGCAGGGTGAGAGCAGCATTGACAATGAGTAAACGAATGGGCACAGCTGTGTACCAATAAACTTTATTTACAGATAAGGAAATTTGAGATTTATATAATTTTCTCATATCACAAATATTCCTTTTTTCCCTCTTAAACCATTAAAAATTATAAAAGCCAATCTTATCTTGGTCACCATACAAAGATAAGTGGCAGGCTGGATTTGGCCAGCAGGCTGAAGTATGCTCACCCCTGGAATAAAAAACAAAGCTTTCGGTTGTACAGGTTATTTCCTTATCTGATTGTTTATTTTCTTACACCTCCTTGTGTGTAGAGGTATTTAAGGGGCCAAAGTGCATATAATTCAGAAAAGATAAATATAGAAGAGGGGAAAAAATGAGACTAAGAAAGATTAGGAGCAGGAAGGGAAGAGAGCCCAGGTGAGTGAACATGCCAGGTTCAGGCCATGCACTCGGGCCTGGATTTGGCTCTGCACTTTCTAGCAGCACCAAACTGAGAAAAGGGAAATGGAGCTCCTTCCAGCAGTCACAGAGTTCTTGAGGTAGAGGCGAGCCAGGTGTGCTCAGTATTGGGCGCTGATCTGGACATCAGAGAGAAATTTCTCTCTTGATCCTTCTTCCTGGTATAATCAACAACATCCTCAAAAATATCCGTATAGTAAACACAGCAGTGGGGTTCCTAGAGCTCTTTCCTATGGAGCCCCTAATATTAATCAATGGCAGGGCATCAAATAATAATTCACCAAAAGCAAGTGGGTGGATGATAGAAGAAATACTAGTTGATAGAAACCACATCAATCAGTTTGAGAGTATTTATGCTTAAAACATTTCCCAGTAATGATGACACAGATATTGCTATATATTATAGTGACAGGATTTGTCCAGGTTCATGGAATAAAACAATCGTTTCTCAAAAAATAAAACAAAAAAATAGCCAGTTATGCTATTTGCCAACAAAAAATAATTTTTTTATAGCCTTGAGCTGAAGGTGGGGAGGGAATAATAAAAGAAGGAAAGTAGAGGTGGGGAAAGTCTCAGAATTATTATATGGGACAGACCTCAGAGAAAATCTGCTCCAATTTCTGATTTAATATCTGAGGGAAATTGAGGCTCAGAGATGTTGGGTGACTAGCCTGAAGATACAAAGCAGGGAACCGAGCTCAATGCTTTCTTAGACTCTCCATTTTTATTCCCAGTCCCCCAATCGCTCCACCCCACACCAACATACACACACACACACACACACACACACCCTCCTGGGGATGCTGTCGCATTCACCATCCTGCTCTGATCCACTTTTCCTTTGATCCTCTGTTTCTTTGTTATGGGGTGGGGCCACAACATTAGTAACAAAGAAACAATTTCCAGAGGA